TCTAAAAAAATTTCCTTTGAGTTACTTATCAAATTATTTCATAGCTTATATTTAGCCATTTTTTATTACTACTGATAATGAGAAACCTACGATTATTCCAAATAATTCAAATTGAAGGAACTTGAGAGAAATTTGTTTTGAAAATTTAGAACTTAAGTGGTCAGACTATTTCAATAACGATAAGACCTAGCTGATATTAAAAACGCCAACACACAGTTAAAATAAAAAAATGGATCTGTTTTCGAGATAATTGGAGAAATGATCAACATCAATTATCTAAACTGCCACTTCTAGTTTGTCGATTTTAATGAAAAAGAGACTGTAAAAAGAGATTTTTATCAATAACCCAAGAAATTTGCTGTAAGAAATCGAGTACTGTCAATTAGTATAGTATATTACATACATAGGTAAGTGAAAGTAAAAATTATAGATGGTACATTTTATTTATAACATTCAAAGTATTTACTTTAAACATATAATTTTAGTTTCACACAACTTTTTTCATTTTTGTGCCAGGCTGTACTCCTTCACTCACACAGACCGTTGTGTGAGACTGTATTATTTATACTTAGGGGATCTTACAACATGTATTTTCTTTGTAAACTTTCGCAATACTTTCTCTTTTATAATTATTTTATATTTCATACTTAAGTATGTTAAAGATAAAATATTCATTAAACCTAGTGACAATTGAAATTCTTCAATCTTTACTTCAATGACTTCTCATAAGTGCTAAAATTAAGTGTATAAATATAATTATTCTTTCCTTTCCCTTCATGTACCAGAAAGTGATAGGTCCAACCTCTGTGAAAACTATAAAGTTTGCTTTGCAGACCTCTACTTTGACTGAAAAACAAACAAAATAAAATTAATTCTATGCCCTAACGTTAATATTAGCTTCTTCTTTTCCGATATTTTTTGTTATAAAATAATTAAAAGTTCACGACTCTGTACTGGGGAAGCTATTAACTCTGGAATTTATCCCTTGCATCCTCCCAAAAGGTGAGAAAGAGGTGAACAGGAAAAAAAATCATGAGTGTCTCTTCAATTTCATCTCCCGTCTTGGAGACAGTTCTCCATGCACTGAGCCTGAGCAATAGTAGTCAAAGTGGAGGAAAACATGGGATGTTACAAGGATCTGTCTGTTTTTTCGAGGAATTGAATCACAGAATAGGAGTTTTTTAAGAACTGTTTTGGATCTTCAGGTAGACTATGAGATATTGTTTTCCAGAAGAGATTCTGATTAAAGGTTACTCCTGGATTTTTGACTGGTAAAATGGGTGGGATGGTTATTGAGGTAGTGAAGAGGAGAGTAAGGAAGTTATTAAGTTATTTAGACTGTTTTTTTGGAAATATTGAATTAATTAGTAAGTTATCAATTTTAAGTTTAATTATTAATGGATTACTATTGATGCCATGAGGACATTAAGTATAGTGGCCTTTTTTTTATCAATGGCACTCTTGTTGGACTAAAAAATTTGTTTGGCACTTATTTATTATAATTTAAGAAATTATTAAAATATATAGTTGCAAAAGGAAATGATTTGTGACAATAAAGCTATAAATATAATATGTGAAGGAGTTGGCCGGGGTTGCAGTCAAATAAATACTATAGACTATAATACTTGAAGGAAGTTAGTCGACTGTTTTACATATCATGGGTGATAAATATTCAGGACGCAGTCTTTTTAAATTTTTTATTTATGCCAATGTTTCAACCCAATCATGTGGTCAACCAAACTGAGGGTGCTCAAACCACGGTTAGTTAGAGAAAATATTACAAATTTGTATAAATGGATTATAATCATTATTTTTTAATTTTTAGTTTGTATAACTATTTACATATTTCATTTTTAATATGTGTATTGCAATATTAATTAAGATTCATGTACCATCAATCACTATATTATTTATCATTATCGGTCGTATACTATTATATCTGTGATTGTATTTTTAAAAAAATTCAGCCCTGAAGATGACCTACATGTTTGGGTTGAAACGTTGGCATAAATAAAAAATTTAAAAAGACTGCGTCCTGAATATTTATACTAGAATAGTATTTTATTTGTTACGCCTGGTAAAATCACGGTCAACCATCTCTACACCATTACAAATATAATACTTTGGACAAGTTTGGAAAAACATATGGTAATTAATGGTTATAAATAAAATGTACCATCTATAATTTTTACTTTCACTTACCTATTTATGTAATATACTATACTAAATAAGAGTAGTAATATTCATTACAAAAACTTGATTGTAAAATATGGAATCTTATATTTTTGGGGAATTAAAATGTTTGACAATACTCAATTTCTTACAGAAAATTTCTTGGGTTATTGATAAAAATCTGTAAGAAATTTGTTTCTATAACCCCCCAGTTCCCAATGCTACCTAAAGGTGATAGTTGTTTAAAACCTGAAATCATCTACAGCTTCATGAGTTATTGTTAGAATCTTTAAGAATTACATGGATGAGTAAAAAAAGTTTATATACTTAAATACATGTACTGTATAACTTTAGATCAGATATTATATTTAAAGAAATAACTAGATATTTATCGCCGGTTTATTCCTAAAAGTCTTAATATAACATAATAGAAAATTTAATTAGTGAATAATTTGATGAATTTCTCCTCTGTGAAATCACAACTTATCCTCTTACAATCGAAGCAAAAAAATTTGACATATCAATGTAGATAGGTAATGAAAACCCTTAATTACATTTTACTTAGGAAGAATAAGAGCTCAATAACATGTATAATGCAGGACTCAGCAGACTTCAAAATATGTATTATTGTTAAATACTCGGTTTCTTATATAGGTAAGTGAAAGTAAATGAAGATTATTTATGGCCAGTTTACAGCAGATATTTTCAAAGGTCACTTCGGATTTGCCCTCATGAAGAATATCACTCACACGCGGACAAACGGATCTTAGATTTCCAGAGTAATTTCCACAATGAAAGGGTAAACCAAAACACTAAAATGAAACATCTGTACTTTATTATATCAAGAACACTTGTGCTATAATCCAGCAGTTTCTATTCAATTCATCAAATTTTTTCTGCAATTCAATTTTAAGTTAGATTCAAAATTCAAACATACTGAACCAATCATTAATGAACTTCATTATAAAGATGATTCATCTCTCTATTGTCTCTAGAAGTTTTAGTGATAATAATTTACAGATTGTTCAATAATTTTTATAATAATGCATCTATTCAATAATTGGTTTAATAACGTAAATATCCGTTGCATTTATTATAAAGCAGAGTGACAAATATCTAAGCATATTAAAATCGAGTTAAGAGTAGACTATTTTTCCCTCGGGCAACTATTTGTTGCCTTATTCAGATTAGGTTCTGAACAAGCTAAAGAAGAGTGAGAGAATAGTAGAGGAATGGGTATGGCCTTTTAGAAATGGCTAAGGTATATTTATTCCATAGGGAGAAATAAATAAAAATATTGTTTACACTGAAATTCCCTTTAAATAGTTCACATATTGTATTCATAAAAATATTTCTTATTATACAGCCATTAAACTGAAGAAACTTTCTATTAAGTGAATAATTTTTTTTCTTTAATATTAAGGTCCTTATGTTTTTAAATAAATTTTATTCATATAATCAGAGACATTTGTCCATGTATGTTTGATGGGAGAAGAACTGCCAAGAGCACATCAGAGACTACCAATAATTGGGAACCCATCTAAGCGAGAATGGCTGGATAGATGACAGGGAAGTAAGGGAGAGAATAAGACAGGCCAGCAAATGCTTCGATTTGCTAAAAGTATGTTTTTTGGGGAAAGGGAGAAATAATAAAAAGTATGAAGAAAACTGAAAAAAATACATTTGCCCCCCATACCTACAGCAGTGAATCCTTACACCTCTGTAGACTTATACCTCTAAGTACAGAAGCCAAGTTCAAGCAATAGAAATTCGGTTTCTGGGGAGAGTAAAAGAAAAATAAAGAAGAACAAAGTTAGAAACAATGATAAGAAGCAACTGCGAATAAGACCAGCCGAAAATATAAAAGAGGAAAACAGACTATTTTGGTTTGGTCATGTAAAAAGAAAGGCCATAATCATGTATGAAGTGAGAGTGGAAGGAAGAATGTCAAGAGGAAGAAGGGAAATAAAAAGATAAAGATGAATGGATCAGGTTCTAGATGATAGAAGAGGAATCAATTAAGAAGAAGAAGAATAAAATAGGCATGTGTAATTAAAATTTAATGCAGGTGTAACTGCTGGGAACAGCTAATATTTTTATAAAATTATTCTAATTACATTAATGCTGTTCTTGTTGTCATTCTTTTATATTTTATATAATACTTAGTCATATATTATAAAATGTTAGTATCATCACTATTTCTTGGCTCTGTTTGTCTTGAACTAAGCAGTTATCGAACTTATCTTAAATTATTTTATCACCCTCATTTTTTTAATATAATAAAATTTACAATACAATAAAAATTCTGAATGATGTAGAGTAGAGATGGTTGACCGTTGATATGATATGAGAAGGAATTAGTCGAGGGTGCGGTCAAAAAAAATATATAAATAATTTTAATTTTTGCCGACGTTTCGACCGTTTCGTAGCCGACGTTTCGACGTTGTATCTTTTGTAGCCCTGAAGACGACCTGCAAAGTGGGTCGAAACATCGGCAAAAATTAAAATTATTTATATATTTTAATTTTTTTTATTTTTTTTGACCGCACCCTCGACTAATTCCTTCTCAAAAAATTCTGAAAGTATAATATATTTATGTAAATTATTGTAAAATTGTTATATTAATTCTTCCTCTGCTTTCTTAAGTCCATTTGATTGTCCTTTCATATGTATTATAATATTTAAATTAATAAATGAATAATGGCATATTCTTTATTGGAAAAATATTTCTTTGAATGAGATTTTTATGGATGGCCTGATTTAATTATTTTTTATTGTGTTTAACTAACGCCATTTACTTATTATTAATATTATTATTTTTTTTTAAGGTGTACATTAAGATTTCCTAGCACAACAATTAGGCTCTCTTTTCAATCTTTAGTGGATGAATCTGGACCACCTCTTAATGTTAAACAGAGGACTCCATTACCACCACTTCGAATCAACATTCCAGATCCTGATTCAAATTTTACTAGTCCTTTTCCTTCTCCTACAGGGACAATAAGGTATGTGTCAATTGATTGTACTTATTCCATTCTAAAATGAATAATCATGGTGTAGTATCAACATTTTAATGAAAGTAAAAACTTGCAAATAGTAAGAAAATATTAAATAACAAATAATAATTTCTACTGTTTGTTTAATAATGTTTCTATTCCTTTTATTTTGCATTCAAGCATTTTTTTTTATTTTTTTTAACTCATTTAAGTTTTTCAGATAGTTTATAAAAATTGAAGAATTTTTATCATCAGCATTTTGTTTCTGTATATTAGTACTTTTTCACAATGAATTGTTTCCAGTTAAATCAAGTTACATATTGATCATAGTGATATATGTTTTAATAGATTTATTTCTTCATCCACAATCATAACTTAGCATTTATTTATACTGATTTTAAGGAAATCTGAGAAATATTTCAAAAACTGATAGTAGACTTCAAATGGAACGAACAATTTTATATGTTGTGTATATATATCCATTTATGTTGCCAAAAAATGTATGTTCTGTATTCAGGGATTTACCTCTGAGCATTTCTGTGCCCATAATGTTCTTAGACAATGAACTTGTCTTGCATGGCTGCTTTTTAACTTGACACTTGATTGTGCAGTAAGGAGATCTGGAATTCTAATTTCAGGATAAATTTTCAATAGGACTACAATGATCCTTGGTTATGCAGATGGTTTTGACAGAAGAATTATTGGGCTGCAAACGAATGGGACTCATTAATAATAAAATAAGGCAAAAATGAGATTGCGAACTTTTTATTATTATTTTTTTCTGCAACCTAGGATGTTTTGTAATAAATTAATTACTAAAATACACAATTAGTACACTAAAATTAGAGATTGATCTGAACATCTAAATAAAAAACCCTGTAACTTGTTAGACATTGTTTATAACCCTCTCTTAAAAAATGGTAAAAGTTCTGAAATGTCTGTAACATTTTGATGGGGGTAGGGAGAGGACAGAAAACAAACTTTTATTTAGTTTTTAGTTTTTTTGTGAATATCTCAAAAGCTCTTGGGTTTATTAACCTCAATATTATCCTATACAAAATGTTGAAAATTATTTACACATTTTTTTTGCTGACATTGGCTGTGAAGATGTTTAAGGTATTACATTTGTAGAATTTGGAGGTGAAAGTAAAGGGCAGAGATATACAAATTAATAATGACAGTTTTTAATATCACAAACTATGAGAGAAAAGGTTGAAAAAAACTTATATCAAGTGTGTGTGCAGGTATGTGTGTCTATTCAGCACACAAAATTTAAAGGGACAATACTAGGTCTGGATGATTTTGTTAAAATCTTTTTACAATATAAACACAATGTACCCCACCTCTATTTGTCGCCTTTAGAACCATCTGAGTTTTGAATCCTCCCAATTTTTTCAATGACTTTTATTAAAGTTGTTGAAGGAATTTAACTATCGATATTGGAATTTTTTATTTCTCCCTTTTGTTTGATCTCTCATTCATCAAAATCCATCGTTCTTTAGAGCCAGAAAAGGTGTATATACCACTATATTAAATTTAGTGTAGATGGTTGGTTTATTGCAGAAAATCATTAAGTACTATTCTATAAAATTAATTCAGTAAATGATTTGAATTTTTATAGTATAAGAATATCCCCACATATATTATTACAGTAAGGTAAGGCTCGACATCGGTTTTGTACCAAATATAAGCTCTCATCATGCTCAAATACCATGTTCTCATGGGATACTCATCATCATGCTCAAATGGGGTACTGTTGGATTCAGAATTTCATGGAGGTTTAGCGAATCATACTCCACTTTTGCTTTTCTTTCTAAAATAAATAAAGTCGATGCAAACATCTTGCAAGGCTTTGATACTGGAATGGTAGTAAGTCTGTAGATCAATATGGGACAAATTGGGCTTTGAAGATTTTGATGAGTACAGCAAGACCCGGATAGTTCCTTCGGAACTATCGGGCCCTGCGTTCTTAAGTCCCAAAATGTACTATTTTCGAGATATTGCAAGGCAAAGGGTTCGGATCCACAAAACCTTCGTTGACTTGAGGCCCTATGATTGAGAGAGGAGGAGTTTATATTATTTATCGAAGGTGTTTTTTTGTCGATAAGTCACATAATCGTTAATTATTCACCAAATTCCAAGATTGGACCACTAATTTTGAAGATTTCCTTCTCCTTCAGGTGGGCAAAATAGTCCTATCATTGAAAATTCAGACAACAATGTTATGAAAGAAAAGAAACTTTATTTGCGAATAACTCACAGATTACACACCTTTCCCTTCGTCATTTCTATGATTATATAAAAGATTACTAAATTCCCTACAAAAGGAAGGAAAAAAAAAATCATCGAAATCGGATTATTTTTAGCAAAAATACAGCTTATTGATATTCGTAAACATGTTGGTTCCAAATATTAATGAAGTTTTAAGTTAATTTTTGTTTTCTTTGTCAATTATATTTGGAGAGAAAGTAACCATTGATTTCTTTGATGATACGTTGATTTGTTTTATTTTCTTATTAATTTATTATTTTATCACTGAACAATATACTGTGCGAATTTTTGCATAGGCCTACTAGTAGTAAATAATTTGTAAAATCACAATAGTATGCACTTAGTCCGATTTTATTTGACATAAATAGGCTTTGTGTTATTTTAATGGTCTAGTTGAGAGTTTCTGCATTGATAACCAAGGTTCTCTATTGTTTTCTTTAAAGTTTAGCTCCATTGAAAATGAATTTCAATAGCCCATTTCTGGCAGAAAATAATGTCTTCTCGAAGTAGAGTGGTAATTGAAAGTTTTGTGATGCGTGTACGAATTTTTTAAATTGAAATTTATTACCTCTAGTTTTTCTTTTACTGTAAGAAATGTATGCAATGTTTCTTAACATTCTAAGTTGAAATGAAAAGTAATGACAAGCATAATGGTTTTAGTACATTAAAATTAGAGATTGACCCAAACATTAGAAAAAAAAAAATAGATGAAACTTGTCAGAATTGTTCATCACCCTTCCCATTGGTAACTGTCAAAAAGTCCCAAAGTTTCTTGTGTCATGTTTTGGTGGGGGGAGAGGGACAGAAAACATATTTTTTTTTTTTAATTTAAAAAACTATGAGGTTTTAAAAATGATTGTTCAGTACAGTATTAAAGTACTTTAAAATTTCAATCAAAATGGCACCATATATGTATTTTTATTAAATCAATGGTTACAGAGATATTAACACATTAGCTGCTGAGCATGATATACCTTAAATGTCTTTCCTGAAAATATTTGTCCCTGGCAAATGGCACTAGTTATGAAGTTCGTAACGCCATCAGTTTCGATGTATACCCCTAAATGGCCAGCAATCGTAGGAGTGAATTCCGACGTCCGATGACGTTTATATGAGGAGTTTTTATTATTTATCTTTATTTCAGTAAAAAAGTGTTATTTTTAGAGATATAAATCTTAAATATTGAAAATGAAATGAGAAAACATTTATTTATTATATATAATTTTCATGATATAATTTAGACATTATTCGTGTAATATTTTTTCAAAGCCATGATGAAAATGGAATATAAAAAATGGAAGTTTCACAATAAGTACCATATTGTGGCAATGCAAGAAAAATATAGGTATTTGGGCATTCACTATTACATTTCAATTTATTTTAAGAAAGAGAAAAATGGAAGTGAAATATTAAGTTGTTTGTGAATCAGGTAGAAGTGCAGCAAACAGAATCCATCCATACCATCACTGTCCTCACAAAAACTTTCCGTGTTTTCTTATTTGCCTTCTTATTTCCTATGGTCTTTCTCAGTTCCCTGTAGCATCCTCTGCATTGCTTTCTACCCTCATCTGAATACTTAATAAAAGAATGGACATGACGCCTCAGATGTGGTGACAATGGTCACTGCTAAGTTGCGAGTTCATCGGTGGGAACCGATCGGAACTTTGTAGTTGATATGTTTTTTTCATGTTAAAGATTATTCAAGAATTGATTAACAATGTTTCTAACAGTATCTCAATCACCATGCATATGCACTATCCTGTCAATGCAGGAATATGTATCAGATGCCGTATGATACCGTAGTGAAATCAGTTTTTATTGGTCCTAATACAGCTTTATATCATATATAATGGTTATTTACGTTTCTATCTTTACATCTATTCAACTTCCATTAAAATATTTCTAAAAATGATTGTGGATTGATGGTTGACTGTAGTGAATAATTGAAGAGAAGAATGGTTGGGGTAATCAGTAAAAAAAAAAAATAGTAAAAATAAATAATTATATTTATTTTTATTTTTGCTGACATTTCAGCCCAAAGTTCAGGCCTTCATCAGGGCTAAAAAACAACAAAAGATAACAGTAGAGAAACTATAAACATTAAAAAATAAAGAATTAAAATTGCAAAGCTGAAAGGTATAGACTAAAAAATGTAAGTAGAATTAACTTGAAGTAAAATAAAGTAGTTAGAATAATAATAGTAAAAGTGAACTAAGACATAAATAATAACGGCAATAAAGTAGGGACTATTGAAATAAACATAATCAAAATAAGGTAACATAATAAGAAATTAAAAATGAATTAACAACGAAAAGTAGTGGAATGTATATGATAATAAACGTAAGTATATACAAAAAAAAATAAAAATAAATGGAGTGACTTGCTAAAACATGATGTAATAGTATACTAAAAGGAAGTAAGATAATCATAGAATAAAATGTAAAACAAAGAAAAGGATTATGAAGTTACATAAGGAAATAATAGATATAAATAGAAAATTGAGATATTGTAAAATCTTATCAAAATATACTGACTACATATAAGAGACTAAAAACTTAAAATAATGTAAAAAAGATAAATTAGCAAATGTATCAATTAATATACACAAAGGCCTAAACGTTGACAAAAAGAAATATAATTATTTATTTTTACTAATTTTTTTGATTGATCACCCCCAACCATTCTTCTCTTCAATTTCTAAAAATGACCATTTTATAGACTTCGTAAGATAAGCAAAATTTGAGACTATCCCGGCCGATGGCAGTCGAGACCCACATCAGAACCCGGGAATCATAACTGCAGCTAGCGTAACGTGTTAAAGAGATAGACATATTATTAGAGATTTAAGAGATATTTAAGGAATTTCTACTTTAAGCAAAAATTGATCAAAACTATGAAATTGCTGTTGTTTATAGTACATAATATATTTTCAAAGTTGAATTTGTTTGTTCAACATTTTTGATTGTTTAAATTATAATTAAAAGTTTTTTTGTTTCAATGACTCTAAAAAGTCATTGACAACAGGATAGTATTCGATACCAATCAATAAGGAATTTCGTGATATTGGTATGTTTAGATTGATATTGATTTTTTATAATTGATAATTATTCTTATTTATTATTATCTCTTATTAAATAAGAGATAGCAAACCTGAAAGCCTTCCAAAAAGTTACTATAAGCCTTGGTCTGATTTCATACTCAAAACTAGGAAATTTTAAGTTTTGTATTTTTTATATCACTTACGTTTTCTTTTTTTAACTAAAAAAATATTTAATTTAGCAAATATTCAATTTAGGTTATTAAAAATTGCTTCAAGGGAGCGGGGTAGGGCACTGAGCTTCCAATGCAAAGGTCCCGAGTTGGAACCCCGGCTCATGGCAGAAAATTTATTTATCTGTTTCATTGGCCGTGGGGCGACCTTGGGTCAGGAGTCCCTCCTGGGGCACACCCAGCCTCTATAAAGTGGGTACCCTTAATTAAAATTAAGGGGGAAAACCTGGCGGTTGAGCGTGATCTCGGTCAAATCACCTCCTTGCACAACCGTTGACCTAGAAACAGTGCTTTCCCTAAATAGTGCTGAACCCCAGACCCTTAATGGGTTGTAGTGGTACAAAAATTGCTTCATAGTAAACTAGATAAAATTTTCTTCAAATGCAAATAGTCTCTATCTTTTATAAAACCATTTAAAAGAAACAGTTTATTTGGTACGATAACATTTGGTCTAATAAGGTCAGACTCAGAACATTTATTTGATCACTTATTCAATAAGGATCAATTACCATAATAAAGATCAATGGAAAAAATCATTGTTGCATTATCACTGTATGTGTCATATGCCCTCCGACATCCTCCCAATCCATCTTGACGACAAAGAGTCCATATCTTTTTCCCTTAGTGCATGTCAGGGGGTTCTTTCAAAGGCACCCTCGATATCAATGAAGACACCTGTCATGATTTCCCTCTGTTCTAAGGATTTTTCTATTCTATTCTTGGTTGTTAGGCAAATTATTTTGAATTTATTGGACTTGTAGCCAATATGTATTCTCTGATATGCTTGTCTAGCATCATCTTTTCCAATGTTTTCATTAAGAAGGATGTCAGACATATTGGTCTAAATGCCTTGGGATCTTCATAAGATTTCTTTCCAGGTTTTGGAATGTATTGCACATTGAATATCCTCCATTTATTTGGTAGATATCCTAGCGCTAGGATACCTCTTAGTAATTCCAATAGGTGTATAGCCTTATTTTTGAGAGACTCTTCTGCAGCAGTGCTGGAAAGATAAGCTATTATTCAAAATTGTGTATTGACGTGATGCCATATTAATGAGGCAAAAACGAAAAAATATAGTGTCAAGAGCCAAATCAGAACGAACTTCGTACTAAATATTGTCATATTATATATGACGAATCATACTACATAATCACATATTTTAGTTATCATTAACCTATTGTTTAATTTTTAGAATATGATACTGCCTGCCTTAGTATGATCTGTCAGAGCTAAGTTTACTGGAGTAATTTAAACAAAATTATAATTGTATAAATTGTAAATGTTATCACTTTTTGAATATTGAACAAAAAAATATTTATATTTTATATTATTAAGTCCGCCTTATTGATGTTTTGACTTCTATCATGTGTTCTTAAGCACACACTGTAGGTATTTTTTAATTTATTTAAGTTTTACAAAGGTTGGTTCTTATTTCAACTCAAACTCTAATCATTATTAATACCTGAACAACAGCATTGTTAATGTTAATACATTTCTTCATTTTAGTTTAGTTCAGATAAAAATCCTGTTTGAGGATCTACCATTCTTTAAAATCATCTAAACGATTAGGCCACAAGTTGGAAAATTAAAATGAATAAGAATGTGTATGTTCACTCTTACTCATACACCTTCTCCCAAAATATATTTTAATAACATTGAAATCCTAGTATCAGATGTAATTTGATATTTAAGTTTATACCTAGACAAAAGACTTATCTGGAGGACTCGCATTAGACAAAAACAAATTGAATTAAACAGACGATACATTCTTTTATTCAGGTTACTTGACAGACATTCAAAATTGTCTTTAACTAACAAACTAATCCTTTATAAAGTTTTACTGCAACCAATTTAGACTTGCAATATAGAACTGTGTAGTTCTGCTAAAACTTCTAACATTGAAAAAATTCAGTCTTTTTAATCTTAAGTGTTGCGAAGATTCAGTCTTTTCAATCTTAAGTGTTGCGAAGGATAGTTGATGCACCGTTTTATGTTGCGAATGATATATTATATAAAGACTTAAACTTTCCATTAGAAATTTTAGACACTGCAAAAGAAAACTACAGTAACTTTCACGTACAATGAATTATCTGACAAAAATCCTTAAACGCACAAACCACTACAGCCCACGATTACGTTGGTGGTGGCCAAGAGACCTGCTGATCTTATTTATATCCTGGATATGTGGTTCAACATATATGTTTGGTTAATAAATAAATAATAAATTTTAGTTTTTATTATGTTGTGGGTTATTAAGGCTGTTCTATTCATTTTAATTATTAATTTTTCCACAGTGCTGCTAATTCATGCCCTGCTAGTCCCAGATCAGGAAGTCACTCGAGACATAATGTAAGTGCTGATCTTCAAATGGCAGCAGCGTATGCTGCAGTTGTAGCTGGTCCGAATCCTGTTGTAAATACAGTCACTGTTTCTACTTCTCATGATGATAGGTTTGTTATTTCTCCTTTGATTTATGCTTTTTTTTGGTTATCAGGCCCTAGTGGTAAACCTTATTTTTATTGATTAAGAAAGTGTAAATATCTATTCAATAATGGTTATTGCTGGTCACAATATTAACAAGTTAGACATATATTAAAATGTACAGATTATTTGAGGCCCCTAAAATCCAAGTAATGTAAGTGACGAAAACAATGTTTTAAGTAAATGATCGTTATAGTTAATGTTTCTTATGATCTAAATGATTTTTCTACTCCAGCAGACTTTTTATCGAATTTAGAAATGTTTAAAATTATTTTTAGAATGGTAAATTGCACTTATACCTCTTAACAATCAACTAATATAATAATAATGATGAAAAATAATTGAGTAATTACTATATTTTTATTAATATTGAAGTTCATTAAGAGGTTATCTTGATTTTTATATTTTGCCATGATGTACCAATATAACTTTTCAGATTTCTTCAATTTAAGGATCTATTATATTATCTGAAACACTTACGATTTTATGATTGTACGATTACTTGATTATCATTTATCATCTTAATATTGACATTATTTTCTAAACCTATCCTTCCATTTATCAAATAATGAACCGGAGTATCTATATGTTAAAGTAACATGCTTGAATCATTGAAAAACTAAAGTGTTCTATCTAAAAATATTTAATATTTTCAAATGCTAGGGATTATTTTATAATCACAAAGGAAAAAGGAAATATATTTAATTATCACAATGGTGGTTTTTTGTACTCTTTACTTTCAAAGCCTAGTTAACATTTATTTAAGAGTTAAGTGATTGGCCACTATAACTATAATATAATCATCTTTCCCACTATAATTAAGGCCACTATAATTTCCCAAATAATCTGAAAATCCATTGCTACCCTCAAACAGTTCCTAAGATTCCGTGATTCCATGCCCCTTAAAATCCGTCAGCTCCTAGTTTCCCTCACTCATTTTCCCTCATTTCGATTATGGCTGCCTTGTATACGGTGACTGCCTGGTGGGCTTGAGACCAGATTAAAGAGACTAATGAATTGTTTCATTAGATTTATCTTTGGAGTCCCCAGGCCCTTCCACGTCTCTCGTTGGTATGCCGAGTTGAAGTTGCTCTATCCAGTCTTCCGACGGCATAACTTCCTAGGTGTATTTCTTTTCCGAACCTTTTCAATCAAAAAAACCTTCTTACCTTCTCGATTTGTTTACTCCTTATTTCTTTATCCATTTGTTCAACACGAGATCCCAGCCCTCAAACCTGTTTATTCCTTCTCATAGAACTGTATCCTTTAAAAAATCCTGTGCTTTACGTGCTACCTTGTTTTGGAATTTCCTACCAAACTCCATACATAAATTATCATCCTTGACCTCATTTAAACATAATTTATTTATCCATCTCCTCAGCAATTAATCTTCCGAATATGTGTAAAATAATGTTCACGTTTTTCAGACCTGTCATTCGCATTTAATGTTATCCTACAGATAATTATATATCATCCACATTATTAATGTGTACAAACATGTGAACTCGCACATCAGAATTTATCTATAATTTCATATGTCTACCAGTACCTTTTCTTTATTTAAATTTTTAATTTTAGATCTAGATAACCTTGTAATTTAATTTATTCCTAATTATTTCTAATGCCAGACAATTGTCATTAAATTGTACATTGTATTTATTCTAAGGGGACTTAGTCCTAGAATAAAATTTATTTTTCTTCTTGTTCTATTACAGAGAACTGGGTAGACAGAACACTTATATCTCTTGACTACTAAGTAGATTGACAAATTTCTAGTTCAGCCATACACTTAACTCAATTTTTTCAAAAGCGAATTTATACCCCTTTGCTTCTTGAAATGGAATGAAAAATAATTTTATTCTCTTATTATTATTGCCTCTTTGGTCCACATTAGTTGTTAATTGTTGGTTGTTACTTGAATATGAGTACTACTTGAATAATTGGCATTGTATTTGTATTATTGACATAAACATTTATGTTAAAAAAGTCTGCCTGGTTGGGTTTCTTTTCAACTTTTCAAGTTGATTTGATAAAAAATACTTCACCTCTGATTTCATGTAAAATATTTAGAAATGCTGTTAAAGTATTGTCACAGACAAAATAAATAAAAATGAAAATGATAAAGATGTAACTGAAGTTACAACTTTCTTAAAGGAGAGTCAGAAGAACCAATAATTCAATTAAGCCAAAAATGTTATTTACAACTTCATCAAACGAAGATAGCGACTTTATAACCTTATAAAACTATCGTATAAATTTAACTTTCCTTTCCATATGTTCACAGCCATTATATTCTTAACAGTCACATTAATGTTAATTGTTAAATGGAATTTGATGAAATTGGTATGAGACCATATACACTATTCTCCAATTATCAGGTCAAATCAAATGAGCTGTTTTTAAAATATAGTCTTATCTAGGACTATGCATTTGCATATATTGTAACTGAAGTATTTTTTTAAAGTAGTAGATGAAATGGATATTTAATTAGGTATATGTTGACCAATCCCTAACTTCCCTCCAATTTGGGACAAATGTTGTGTTAATATGCGCAGTTTTTGAAATATGGAGGTATCAAAGAATTTTAAGCTTATCTAAGAGAAAGTAGATGGTAAAAATCGATAATATTGATAGGGCAATATTTTTTCACCAATTTCAAACTTTGAACCAAATAAAATGTTCCTAAAGTATAAACTTATGTTAAAAAATACATTTATACCTGCATAAGTGAAAGTATTTAATGAAAATTGGTGAAATCAATATGAAACCATTTAAGTACCAACACACATAATCCCCGACCATCATGAAAATCGGATTAATGGTAGTTGGCAATTTGTCCTTTATATGGATTAGGTTACTGACAGCCATGGAACCAAATTTGTTTCTTCATAAAATGTAAAACGCAAATGAACATTTTAGATTCTGAGCATTCAATTTTTGTCAACCTCCACAAATACACGCTTTTCTACACTTGGTAGTGAGAAAGCAAAATTTCTTTAACACATTGATTAAACATATCATCAAGGCTTTAGAAAACTAGTTAATAATTCAAATAGGTATGTGTTATAGTTGATGTATATGGGCTAGCTTATAAAACCTGGCCTGATTGTCATGCAAATAATGAACATGTCAAAGTTTACCTCTAAGTTTTATTTTACCCTAGTGGTAAAATAAAACTTAGAACTTAAAACTTAAAATACAACTCTCTGGTGTTTATAATATATCAATGTAGTATGATTATTATGTAGATATATTCGATACTTGTAGTATATGTTTACTTTACTTCCAACTTTGCTCCTGAGTCATCATTCAATGATGACTTTTATTTCTCTGACATTTCTCCCACTGACCTTCTAATTGCTGTTATGAAATCCCACACCAATTCCATTGGAACAGATGACATCCCAGTCAAATTAAGGAAATTGTATTCCCATCCTCTTGGAAAAAAAAACCATTGTCCTTCCATTAAATAAAAAGTCTAATCCTTCTCCTGAAGATCCAATTCTTTCCAATCTCTCAAAACCCTTAAAAAGATTGGTGCAATTCCAAGTTTCCAATTTCCTTGAAAAGTTCAACCAACTTGATCTTCTCCAATCTGGTTTCTGTCCCGGCTACTCCACACAATCCACCTTAATTAAAATTACCAGTGATATTCAGACTGCGATAGATGATAAAAAATTAACTGTCCTTATACTTCTCGATTTCTCCAAAGCATTTGATTCCATTAACCATACCATCCTTTTCAACAAACTAAAATCACTATCCTTCTCCCATAGTTCCAATCTTTCCTACCCAAGCAATTTCCGTTCCCAATCAACTGCTATCTGCTAACCTTTCGTTATCCTTCGGAGTTGCCCAGGGATCATGTATATCTCCTTTCCTTTTCAGATCCTACATTTACAACCTACATTATTCAATTCTCCACTGTTCCCATCACCTTTATACAGACGATTCTCAAATCTACCTATCCTTTTCTCCCCCTGTTGTTATAGAGTTGTTGATAGCATTTGCCATGGTTCAAGAAGACCTAGATGGAATCAGTGCCTGGGCAAATTTAAATGGATTAAGGTTAATGCTGCCAAAATTCAGGCCATTGTAATTGGTTCGCCCAATCCCCTTCTTAGATCCTACACCGACTTTCCCATACTAAACCTTAATGGCCAGCCAATCTCCTTCTACTCTTCTGTTAAAAATTTAGGATTTTTCATTGATCAGACCCACCCGCTCCTGTAATCACCATATTACTCACATCTCCCAATGGACAATTTCTACTCTCAAACTATTCCATCGCTTCTGCCATCTCCTACCTCAGCATACGCGTAGACTCCTGGTTTCCTTTCTCATCTTCCTCCACTTTAACTACAGCTGTGTGGTGTATGATGTCCTTTCGGTGGAGCTCCTTGACAAACTGAAAAGACTAATGAACAGCTGCGTATGATTTGTAATTGGTGCCCCTGTCTCTCACCACTACACTGATTTAAAGTGATTCTACCCCTCCATTTGAAGACAATATTTCTTAGGTACGTTTCTCTATCAAATCATCATACTTCTTCTAAATTGATTAAGGAGAACAGTTTTGAGATATGTCGTTGGGTTTGCAGGGTCTTAAATTTGTAAGGTGAAGTTGGGTTGAATTGATCACATTTATAAAATTTTTGATAAAAAATCGGTGGTCCAAAAAGGTGAAAATTTTGAGAAAAATCCCCCTTCTTATCTACATTTAAAACCCTCCTATTCCAATCCCTGCCCCAAAAACGGTCAGATAACCGCTAACCTTTTATGTAAAATTATATACTATTCATAATGATGCATTTACTTATAATTCATCATTTAAATACTGATACAATTTTTACTATCAAATTCGGTTTTATTTTATTTTTTTTCTACAGAAACACAGTTTATTACTAATAAAAATTTAATGTATTTTTTATTTTAAAAGTGAATATTTTTGTTTTACCACCGTACATAG